AACCCTCAGGGCATCGGCAAGAAAGTGGGGGTAGAGATGTCAGGTGTTTGGCCAGTAAGGCAGGACTGGGGCCCAGCGTGTCCCTGCTACCCAGCCCTGCACTCCCGTTGTGCACTTCTCATGGCCAGCCCTTCTGAGTTGCCCTGACACCTCTGGGATGGGGGTGGAAGACCAAACCCTCCCACCCTAGGGCCTGTCCCACCTCCCAGGGACTCCACTGCCTTCCTCTCTGGGCCTCTCTGAGGGGTGTGGGGAGGTTAGATCTGGTTCGGTGAGCAAAAGCCCCTCCCTCAGAGGCTCTGCTGTGCTCCCTAGACTGGACGTGTGGACAAGAATGCACCCACGGTCTGTGGACACACAGCCCCCGTGCTGGACATTGCCTGGTGCCCGCACAATGATAACGTCATTGCCAGTGGCTCCGAGGACTGCACAGTCATGGTGAGTAGTGGGGGGCCGGGGGAGCTATAGCACTGGAGCTGACATCTGGAGCCCCCATGTGTCACTCGCCCCTTCTCTGCAGGTGTGGGAGATCCCTGATGGGGGCCTGACACTGCCCCTGCGGGAGCCTGTCGTCACGCTGGAGGGCCACACCAAACGCGTGGGCATCGTAGCCTGGCACCCCACAGCCCAGAATGTGCTGCTCAGTGCAGGTGCCTGTGGGGAGAAGAGGGGTGGGCTGGTTGCCTGACAGCAAAGGTGGGAGGCTCATGGCCTCTGACACCGGGGATATCACCCAGGTTGTGACAACGTGATCCTGGTGTGGGACGTGGGCACCGGTGCAGCTGTGCTGACGCTGGGCTCCGATGTGCATCCGGACACAATCTACAGCGTGGACTGGAGCCGAGATGGCGCTCTTATCTGTACCTCCTGCCGCGACAAGCGCGTGCGCATCATCGAGCCCCGCAAAGGCACTGTTGTGGCTGTGAGTTGCCATGAATCGTGACCTCTGACCCTAAGACTTTTGCCCTCCCACATACCATCAGCCAGGTCCCTAGATGCTGCCCTCTCTTGCCCTCAGCTGGAGTCTGGTGCTTAGGATGTGTGTACCTGACTGGCCACCTCCCTTTCCTTCCAGGAGAAGGACCGTCCCCATGAGGGGACCCGGCCTGTGCGTGCTGTCTTTGTATCTGATGGAAAGATCCTGACCACCGGCTTCAGCCGCATGAGTGAGCGGCAGGTGGCGCTGTGGGACACGGTGAGTGTCGAGTGGGGAGCAGCCATCAGGCTGGGCTGGAGGCTTAATCCCTGCCCTGCCACTTGCCTGATCCTATAGAGCCATGGGCCTCAATTTACCCTCTGTGGGATGGGGTTTCCGCTGGTTGTTCTGTGAGGCCCTCCCTGAGTCCCTGCCCAGAGCTCTTCACAGGCCCGACTTGGCCTAGTTCATCATTCTGTCTCATCCATCTCTACAGAAGCACCTGGAAGAGCCACTGTCCCTGCAGGAACTGGACACGAGCAGCGGCGTCCTGCTGCCCTTCTTTGACCCTGACACCAACATAGTCTACCTCTGTGGCAAGGTGTCCTAGTCGGGCAGGGGCGGCCGGAGGGAGGGAGGAGGGAGGAGGGAGGAGGGCTGGGAAAGGAGCAGGCTGGAGGAATCTTGGTGTTGATCCTGGGGTGTGCGTCCACCGCCTGCAGGGAGACAGCTCTATCCGGTACTTCGAGATCACTTCCGAAGCCCCATTCCTGCACTATCTCTCCATGTTCAGTTCCAAGGAGTCCCAGCGGGGCATGGGCTATATGCCCAAGCGTGGCCTGGAGGTGAACAAGTGTGAGATTGCCAGGTGACTGACCCCTGACCCCAACCTGAGCATGCTCCCTGGGCAGTGCTGACCCCATGCGGACCTTCAACTCCAGCCGAGCATGCTGTGGGCACCGCTCACCTTCTTATTCCCACAGATTCTACAAGCTGCATGAGCGGAGGTGCGAGCCCATTGCCATGACCGTGCCTAGAAAGGTGATGCCCCCATGTCCCTTCCTGAGCCCTGGGCCAGGCACTGAGCTTGCACAGGTGCAGGGTAGCCGTGTGGCCCAAACGCTCTCTTAACCAGCCTTGGCCTTGCCCACAGTCGGACCTGTTCCAGGAGGACCTTTACCCACCCACCGCTGGGCCTGATGCTGCCCTCACGGCTGAGGAGTGGCTGGGGGGCCGAGATGCTGGGCCCCTCCTCATTTCCCTCAAGGATGGCTACGTGCCCCCAAAGAGCCGGGAGCTGAGGGTCAACCGAGGCCTGGATACCGGGCGCAGGAGGATAGTGCCAGAGGCCAGTGGGACCCCCAGCTCGGTGAGAAGTGGATGGGGACCTGGGAGTCAGGACGGGAAGATGGATAGGGCAGGGGCTGCTACTGAGGTGGTCACTGTCTCACTGGAAGGAGGCTGATGTTTGGGCCATGCTACATTCACATTGGGGATCCTCTGTGGGTAATCCTGAGGCCCCAGAGAACAGGTTTCATGTTTACTGGCTTGCAGCTGTCTGGGCAGCAGCTGACTGAGAGACAGAAGGGCCAAGCCCTGGGGCTCCTGGTAGAGGAGAAGGGGGGTGCCTGCATGAGGGAGCCCAGGGTGGAGCTGATACTGATGTGGCGCTGGATCCCCCAGGATGCCATATCCCGCCTGGAGGAGGAGATGAGGAAGCTCCAAGCCACAGTGCAGGAGCTACAGAAGCGCTTGGATAGGCTGGAGGAGACAGTCCAGGCCAAGTAGAGGACCCTAGGGCCTCAGCTGGGGCCACGGTATCACCTCCCTCCCTCCATTCACACCCTTCTCCTCAGGCCACAATGGAGATACAAAATAATAATAAAATGGCTTTATTTTCTGGTACCTCTGACTCTGATGGTCACATGAATGGTGGGTCTGCTGAACTGACTTGCCCTCGAACTTCCCCCTTGGTTACCTTGATGAGATTGGTCCATCGCAGGAGCTGGGGGATGCCACAAGAACAGGCTGTGGTAGGCGGGGACCACCCCATGTTCCTGTGGGTTGAGAGCTGGCAGCATCTCAGGCCCCTTGCCTGGGGCCTCAGAAATTCCCACGGTTACTCAGAATTTGCCTTTCTTGGGCAACCACAACAGGCTGCACACGACTGTACTGTCACTGTCACTTGTGGGGAAACAAAACTCACATGACACTTGGCGCTTGCACGGCATGTTTCAAACTGCAAGCCCAAGAGAGCAAAATCAGGGAATCTTTTGTGAGGCAAAAGCTTACAGGTGAGGACACTGAGGCACAGAGCAGTAGAGGGGCTTGTGGGAGGCAGACCTGGGCTCAGGAACCATCTCCCCTTCCTGGTTCCCAGTCTTCCCTGCAGTGTGGCCGCCTTGCAGTCCCTTACTCGGATCCAGACAGAAGAGACCCGTCAGGCCCTGTCAAGTCGGGGCTTAGAAGTGGGCTTCTGATGCCCAGCTCAGTGTGTGACCCCAAGCTAGGACAGGGTGACTGGGATGGGTGTCCTGGCCACAGCAGAGCTTCCCTCATTCCTGACAGGACCACAGCAGGACTAAGTGCCTCATTCATGGCCCCCTGCCCTGCTTCAGCAAGAGGGAGAAAAACAACCATTTGAGTCTCAGTCTCTATGCAAGCCATGTGACCTGGGCAAGTCACTTCTCTCCAGGTCTCAGCTGCTCTATAGAATGGAAAGGGATAGCACTGTAGCTCTGAATGCAGTAAGTGGATCCAATCAGAGGTGTGATAAAAGAGAGCAGCAAAAATCTGGACCCTGGGCCTCTTAAAGTGACATTCCTTCCCTGAGCCTGTCTTGCACATTGGCAGGGGGTGGGGCAGGGGTGGGTGAGTATATGAGCCCTTATAGCGAAGTAGTACTTGAGGATACTTAGCCACTAGTTTTCCTCTTGGCCCAAGGGAACTGAGGAAAGTTCAGGAGAGGATCCTAGGAACACAGAAGGGTTAACCCACTATCACCATGACTTACAGCTTTACTAGCCCATTCTCCCTCTGACAGGAACAAGAGAGAGGTAGGAAGTGGGATGGTTATTTAGGGGTCAAAAAACTGGCCCTGAAAAACGGGATCAAAGTGGTGGAGTGGTTGAAGACTGCAAACCCTCACTACCCAAGAGCCCTGGCCCCATCTGGGTCTCTTGCTGCCCTCCTGGGTCTGAGGGACCCCATCTGTGCCAGGCCTTACCAATCCTGGTACCTGTGTTTAAGATTGATACTAGGGGCAGCCCAGGTGGCTCAGTGGTTGAGCATCTGCCTTTGGGTCAGAGCGTGATCCCCAAATCATGGGATCAAGTCCCACATCGGGCTCCTTGCTGGGAGCCTACTTCTCCCTCTCCCTGTGTCTCTGCCGCTCTGTCTCTCATGAATAAATAAATAAAAATAAAAAAAATTTAAAAAAAAAGATTGATACTAGGGGCATCATGCGCCCCAATTTTATGGCTCAAGGGGCCTTGTTTTCCCACTTTAACCCTATCCCTATCTCCTGCCCACAGCTCCATTCCTGAAGGCCTCATGGTCTGCCCAGGGGCAATGTGGCCACATCAAGCCCTGGGCTAAAGGGTCACTGGACTTCCTCCAGTGGACCAGAAAGCATCCACATTCCAGGTGCTGTGGCGTCCCTGCTGGGGCACCACACCCCAAGACCCTGAAGGGCCGGGTAACCTGCAGGGAAGTGCGAATCCTCCAGTATGCCTCTGACATCAGGCGATGTTGGAGTGGGGGAAGTTTGTTAAATTGGCCATCACCCTGAAACCCGGGTACTTTTTCATCTGTGTGTCCCGAAGACTGACAGAGAGGCCACGAATCCCCAGCAATGGCCAATGAATAGGGCTGTGCCAGGAATTACAGAGGCCGGTGCTCCCTGCCCTGAAAAAGACGTTAAGGATGGAAGTTCCATTTTGTAAGTGGGGACACAGAGGCCTGTGTGTGAAGGACTCGTCCGAGGTAAGACGATGGAGAGCGGGCGGGCGGGGCGAAACCAGGCTCTAGACTCCAGCCCAGCACCCCTCCCACCCTCCCACATACAACACGCTGACACAGAAGCTGGTCCTGATTCATAATTTAATAGCTGTGTGGGCCTTGGGCTCTTATTTCTGGCGCTCACGGGCCCACTGCTCTGGGGTCAGGGTTTTCTGCTCAAAGGCGTGAATGTGCAGGAGCTCTTCTGCCAGGCACGTGTTCACCAGCCTGGGGGAGAGATGGGGCGAGGAAATGGAAGGCCGGAGTCTCAGTGGTGGTCCCAGAAAGCAGGGTGACCCAGGACGCTGGAGGTCCCCGGGCCCTGGGAACCAAAGGGACAGAGGGCCTCGGTCTCAGCACAGGGATCCCTGGGGCCGTGGCTCACCATGCGGGGCCCGCTGGCTGGGGCGAGGGAGTCAGGGTTAGGGGAGGGGCCAGGGTTGTGACTCCAGCGCTGGGATGGCGCTGAGCGAGGTATTCCCGGGGCCTCACCGGTGTCTCTGAAGCAGCGGCTTCCCCTCGAACTTGGCTGACACCACCAGGACTCGGAAGCTGGACGCGCAACGGTTGGGAGTCGTGTCCTCGACTTCCTATGGGGCAGAAAGAACGGCGTGCAGGCTGTGAAGCCCTCCCCTCAGGCGCTCTTTCCCCCTCGTTGGGCGAATCCAGGCCGCTCAACTCACCACATGCTCTGCCTCCAGGTCCCGCTGCAGCTTCTCCCGGAGGTATTCGGCGCTGAGTTCCATTGCAGCAGTCCAGAAGGGGCGGCAGCCCAGCCGGGACGGAACCCCGGCTTCGACCCCAGCCACACTCCTTCCGCCCTTACTGACGCCACTTCCGCTGAGGTCCCTCCTCCCGCCCTTACTAGGGCGTCCGTAACCTCAGCACTTCCGCCCTCACGTAAGCCCGGCTTTCCGCGGTTACCATCCAGCAGCCAATCAGAGTCTGCACGAGGACGGACTCGGGCGCTAATTGGGGCCAGCCGCCTGCACCGCAGCCTGGGTTCTGCGAGCCGGTTTGAACACCCTACTCCAGCCAGGAGAGGGTGCGCGAACCTGCATTGCTGCGGCCTCTAAGGTACCTCGGGCTCGCCCCCAAACGCTCTCCCCGAGACAAGCATCTTGCGGCCCAGGCAGCCCAGCCCGCTCTGAGGTCACAGGCCCAGCAGTCAACCCACAAATCCCGATGGGCCCTGCGGGGGGCGCGGCCAGGCCCGGGCCCTTCTTCGGCGTCTACCTGCTCTACTGCCTGAACCCTCGGCACCGGGGTCGCGTCTACGTGGGGTTCACCGTCAACCCTGCTCGTCGGGTCCAGCAGCACAACGGGGGCCGCAAAAGAGGCGGGGCCTGGCGGACCAGCGGACGCGGGCCCTGGTAAGAGGGAGCGGATTACTATCCGGAGGGAGGGCTTCAAGAAGGAGGCGGGGCTCGAAGGAGGAGAGGCCTGCCGAGGGGGCGGAGCCCTGTGGTGGCTGCTACAGGGCCGGGGGTGGGGCCCCGGTGAGCAGGGCGGGCCTACCACAGGGGAGGAGCGTGGCGAGGGGGCGGAGCCTGTGAAACAGCTGTGGGACGATGATCTGGGCTTGGCCCGGCGACAGCACGCTGATGGGCAAGGCTGGGGTTAGAAAAGAGAGCCCCCAAGGGAGAGGAGCTGAGGAGGGCTCTTAAGTACCTCCGCTGGAGGTGGGGCCTGAAGTTGGCAGGTGCGAAGGGACTGACCGCGAAGGCGGCAGGGCCCCGCGGACTGGGTTTGAAGCCGGGTGGGCGTGAGGCCTTCGCTCTCGGGTCGGACTGGGGTTGAGCCATGGCGAGGGGATTCGGCTTGACCCGGGCTGGGGCGGGGTCTCACGGGCCTCGTTCTTGTCCCCAGGGAGATGGTGCTTATCGTGCACGGCTTCCCTTCCGCCGTGGCCGCCCTTCGGGTAAGAAAGGAGACGAGGGTGGTGGGAGGGAGGCCGGGGCTTGGCGCCTCCCCCGGGCGGCCCTGAAGCCCCTACTCCCCGCCCGCAGTTCGAGTGGGCCTGGCAGCACCCGCGGGCCTCGCGCCGCCTGGCGCATGTGGGCCCGCGCCTGCGCAGCGAGGCGGCCTTCGCTTTCCACCTGCGCGTGCTGGCGCACATGCTGCGCGCGCCGCCCTGGGCGCGCCTCCCGCTCACCGTGCGCTGGCTGCGCGCCGACTTCCGCCGCGAGCTGTGCCCGCCGCCGCCGCCACACATGCCGCTGGCCTTCGGGCCTCCGCCGCCCCGCGCCCGGGAGCGCCGCGCGGGGCCCTCGGCTGACCCGGAGCCCGAGCGCGACCGAGACGCCGACGCCTCCTGCGCCCTGTGCGCGCGCTCCTTCCAGGTGAGCCGCCCACCTGGCCGCCAGGGCCGGCTTGGGATCCAGCTGTTCATGGAAGGACCGGGCGGCCCAGTGACAACCTTGGTCCTCGCTAAAATGGGGATGGTACTTGCTGCCATTCTTCGAAACCGGCACCGTCCTGCTCAGGGCCTCTGCTCTTCCCCTTTGACTGTTAGCTTCTGCCCTAGACCTTCACTTCAGTCTTTATAAAATGCCACCTTCTCCTTCTCCACGAGGTCTTCCTTGGCTCTCCATCTAAAACTGCACTTCTTTCTTGTACACTCCCCTGCCCCCCCCTTTTTTTTCCTTTAAAGCCTAAGGACTTACTAACATAGATGTTTTTTTTTTTTAGATCGTATGGTCAGTTTCTCCCCTGCCCCAATACAAGGCAGTTCTTGTTCACTGCTGTAAAAAGGTCTGGCAAAGAGCAGGTGGCCAATAAATATTTAACAAATTAACTGGGATGATGGGCCTGACTTCTGAGCTCTCAGGAAGTGTGTAAATTGAATACTTGCCATTCAGAGATTAAGTGACCTGCCTGAGATCACTTAGCATGTAAGAATTATAGGTCTGGCTGCAGTGGTCATGCTGTTTATATAATCACTGCTAATGCTCAGAGAAAATTGGCTGGTTTAGTCCCTGTGGACAAGTATTATACTCCATGACTCAGTTCCATCTGTAAAATGCAAATAATAGTATGTGTGTCATAGCGTTGTTAATGTAGAGCCTCTGCAACAGTGTCTGGTCCATAGAAATCCTGAGTGTTAGCTGGTTTTCTCTCTCACCCGCCTGCCACCTCCGACAGGATGAAGAGGGCCCCCTGTGCTGCCCCCACCCTGGCTGCCGCCTAAGGGCCCACATGATCTGCCTAGCTGAGGAGTTCCTGCAAGAGGAGCCAGGGCAGCTTCTGCCCCTAGAGGGCCAATGCCCTGGGTGAGTCCAACACCCCCACCCCAGCCTGGTCTAGCTCTGGGAAGATGGTGCCAGTTGTCTAAGTCCAGGCCCAGGCCTGAAGCTGAGATAAGCTGAGTCCTTATCTTGGCACCCAGGGCCTAGCCTGGAGGCAGCTTGTGATCCTGACTGTATCTCCTACCAACCGTACCCCTTGGTAGCTGTAAGAACTCAGTGCTGTGGGGAGACCTGATCTGGCTGTGCCGAATGGGCGACGAGGAGGAAGAGGAGGACTTGGAGTTAGAAGAGGTGAGAGGTGGCTTGGGCCTCAGACTCCCTAGCCCACCCCATACCCGAGGCTGCCTTTGACCAGTTCTCTTGTCTCCACAGGAACACTGGACGGACATGCTGGGGACCTGACCCTGACTCACCTCAGCAGCCCCAGCCCTCTGCCCACTCCGTCTGTGCCATCCACCCCCCCACCCAGGGGTCTGGGCAGTTTTTACTTGATTACAATAAAGAGTCTGAGTTAAGGGAACTTTGTGGTGTTTGGGGGGGCTGGTGCTAGGAGGCAGAGGCCCTGCGGGTCACTGGGGCCTGAGGAAAAGAGGAGAATTGGGAGGGGTCACTCACCAGCGTGGACCAGCCTCTCTTCTTCCTAGAGGTCTGTACACCTCAGCTTTTCCCAGCATGCTTGTGATGGCACAGAGTCCTTTGAGTACTTGGGAGACTTAGAGCCCATCTAAAATCAGTGCCCAGGGCAGCCTGGGTGGCTCAGCGGTTTAGTGCCGCCTTTGGCCGGGGCGTGGTCCTGGGGACCCGGGATCGAGTCCCAAGTCAGGCTCCCTGCATGGAGCCTGCTTCTCCCTCTGCCTGTGTCTCTGCGCCTCTCTCTCTCTGTCTCTCATGAATAAATAAAATCTTTAAGAAAAACAAAAATAAGTATATTCTGAAAGAAATCACCTTTAAAAAAACAAAATCAGTGCCCAGCTTAACTTTGAGCTTTATTTACATTTTTTAAAGATTTCACTTACTGGGATGCCTGGGTGGCTCAGTGGTAGAACATCTGCCTTCAGCTCAGGGTGTGATCCCAGGATCGAGTCCCATATCGGGCTCCTTGCAGGGAGTCTGCTCCTCCCTCTACTTGTGTCTCTGCCTATCTTTCTCTCTCTCTGTGTCTCTCGTGAATAAAATAAAATCTTTTAAAAAAAACAAAACAAAAACAAGTATATCCTGAAAGAAATCACCTTTAAAAACACAAAATCAGTGCCCAGCTTGACTCTGAGCTTTATTTACTTAAGATTTTACTTACTGGGAAGCACCTGGGTGGCTCAGTGGTTGAATATCTGCCTTCAGCTCAGGGTGTGATCCCAGGATCGAGTCCTGTATCGGGCTCCTTGCAGGAAGCCCAGTGCAGGACTTGATCCCGGACCCCATGACCATGACCTGAGCCAAAGGCAGATGCTCAATCACTGAGCCACCCAGGTGCCCTGACTTTTGAACTTTAATCCAAATAGTAAGGACAAACGCCAAGAGCAGGATGGGTAGGGGGATACACGACCCCATGGCCCTGTGGCTCTCCAGGCCCCAACTCTTGGTCTCTGTGCGGAGCCCCTTCAAACCCAGTGAAAGAAAAGTACCTTGTGGGGGCCATGGTTCTGTTACCCACTGTGAGTGAATCCATGCAATCCTCGGGAGCCGTGGAGCTGGACTCACTCCCAGGGTTCTTGCTCTTTCCTCCTGCCCCACCTCTCCTGCCCCCCCACCCCCACCCCTCCCATTGCTCCATAGTGGCCTTGTGGTCAGAGGTCAGAGTGGCAGTTCTAGAATGCTTGAACTGCTGGGGGCATGGGGGCCACCCCCAGCCTGAACCTTTGATATCTTCAAAACTGGCCTGGAGCCAGTAGGAAGCTGAGTGGCTTGCTCACAAGCATGCCACCTTTCCCCTCCACTCTGCACTCTCAAATCTGGCTAGCTCCATTAGAAAAAGTGTCAGTTGGCCCGACCTGCAGGGGTGGAGTTAGAGGGCAGGTCAGGAGCCAGGATTACAGCTCAAAAAACACTCCCAAAATAAAAATGAAAACATATTGGGCCCTTTTGCCTAGTTTCAGTCTTCCTTTTATTTTCTATATCCTAAACCCACATCTTGGGTTTTCAGGCCAGTCTAAGCTTGGCTTTGGTAGGGCTGGTCTCAGGAGGGGAGCAGAGTGGGACCTTCCCACTCTAAACTCCACCCTTTCCTTCTTGGAAGACAGCCAGATCCATTGCTGGCTCCGATCCCTCCCACTTTGGATTTATAAACCCTCAACTCAGAAAGCAGTTCTGCACTCCCCACACTGCCCCAGTAAGCCACAGCACAAAGCAGTCAGGAGGCCAAGACCCAAAGAGATCTGGTGAGTGCTGGGGTGGGGTGGGCTGGGCCAGGCTTCCCTCCCTTTGCACAGCTAGCTCCTCTCTCTCTGGCCTGTACTGGCCTCCTTGCCCTTTCTCTCTTTATGGGGCATCTCAATCTGCCAACCACAATCTGGACCGAAACCCCCTTCTTCTGGTGACTCATCACTTTTGCTTATCTGCATACCAGACTCTAGCTCCCAAACAAGCTCAGTTGCTCAGCTGCCTGTTTATCCTTAAGCCAAGATGGGAGTGTGATTGGGCAGGAGGGATCACAGGCTCAGCTAGCCTTTGGAATGTTTCCCTGTGTGAGGGGCCCCAGGGGCCCAAGGGGATGGCAGGGAAAGCAGGCTGATACTGTAGGCCAGGGGCTGCCAGAGAAAGTAGTGGGAGAAAGCAAGCTGGCAGGCGGGGAGTTAGGCCAGGTAGACATTAGAGTAGTTCTCTCAAGTGCACAGTGGAGTCTCCTGGAAAGCTTCCAGAAAACAGGTTGGGCCCCGAGAGACTGATTTAATTGGTTTGGGGTGTGGATCCAGGCACAGGGATTTTAAAAAGCTCTGCAGGTAAATCAAAGGTGCAGCCAACTGCATGACCCACTGCATGAATGTCACATCTCGGCTCGAACCCCAGCTCCCACCACCCACTAGCTTTGTGAGCAGGGGCAAGTCAGCCTCAGTTCCTTATCTTACAGCAAGATTTCAACACATGGCATATTGTGATGTTGTTAAGGCAAGTAGACCACACTCTGGTCCTTGACGCAGCATGGAGGACATTCCTGACACCTCGCGCCCACCACTGAAGTATGTGAAGGGGATTCCTCTAATCAAGTACTTTGCAGAGGCACTGGAGTCAATGCAGGACTTCCAAGCCCAGCCTGACGACCTGCTTATCAGCACATACCCCAAATCTGGTAGGTGATGAGGGCCACCCACCCCTCTCCTGGGCCACAGTCCCCTGCGTTGGGCCAGTAGGGGCCTGCCCTTGGCCCTGCTCACCTCCCCTCTGCCTGCTCTCCAGGCACCACTTGGGTGAGCGAGATCCTGGACATGATCTACCAAGACGGTGATGCAGAGAAGTGTCGCAGGGCCCCCGTCTTCATCCGGGTACCCTTCCTTGAGTTCAAGGTTCCAGGGATTCCCACAGGTGTGTGGTGGGGCTCTGGGGATGAGTGGAGCAGAGGGAAGAGGCAGGACTGGGCTCTAGCTCAGCAGACCTTTTTCTACCTATGGCACAGGTTTGGAGGTTCTAAAAGATACACCAGCCCCACGACTCATCAAGACACACCTGCCCCTGGCCCTGCTCCCCCAGACCTTGTTGGATCAGAAGGTCAAGGTGAGTGGCAGCGGAATCTAGGGAAGGAGGCCACTGGGGCCATCTTAGCTTTGGCCCTCTCTGCTGGGAAGGTCTCACCGTAAGGGGGGTGGCTGTCTGCTTCATCCTGTGGTGGGAGTCAGTGGAAGTGAGACTTCTCTGTGCAGAGCTGAGAAAGGCAGTCTTCTCTAGGCCTCCTCAGGCCCATGGAAGAGAGGGCTGGTGAAAACCTGGCACACCTTGTTCCAAATCTGGGTATGGCAGCACTGAGGGGATTAGATTAGCATAAAATAAGGTTCCAGGGACCACAAGCAAGTCAGCCTCTAAGCCTGTTTCTCCCTTTGCCAGACCAAGAGCTAACTTCCTCATAGGGATGCGCTGAAGGGTGGAACTGCCCGGCTTGCTGTGTATTGATGATGCTTGGGGGGGCTGTGTGTGTGTGTGGGATGTCCTCCAGGTGGTCTACGTCGCCCGCAACGCAAAAGATGTAGCTGTCTCCTATTACCACTTCTACCGCATGGCCAAGGTGCACCCTGACCCTGACACCTGGGACAGCTTCCTGGAGAAGTTCATGGCTGGGGAAGGTGAGCCTGAGTCTGGAGGAAGGAGTGGGGTGGAGCTGAGCAGCAGCCAACCAAAACTAATACCAGCCTCTGTGTCCACGTCTCTCCCCCTCCCCCAGTGTCCTATGGGTCCTGGTATCAGCATGTGCAGGAGTGGTGGGAGCTGAGTCACACTCACCCTGTTCTCTACCTCTTCTATGAGGACATGAAAGAGGTGAGGCTACCTGCTGCTGCTTCCCTCCAGGTCCCATGTGGAGAGGCAGGGACCTGCCGAGGCCTTCTCAGCCACCTGCCTTAGCCAGTGCCCTGGTCCCCCCACCCGCCTTCCTGCCCGAGACTTGGGGCTACAGTGTTACCTGGGCAGCAACACTGTGGAGCTCAGATCTCAAGACCTGATTGACACCGGCCATTCCCTGCTGTTGCTCTCCCTGGGGCCACAGTTATTAAAGAGGACTGTCCCTGCCCTCACCCATTAGTACCCAAACAAGAGCTTGTTTCAGGGTCACAGGGCAGGGGCAACTAATGTGCCCCAGGGAAAGACAACCCAAGTCAAGGAGCCTGAGGCTGAGAGATCTCTAGGTGGAAGTGGCCAGATCCCCTGGGGAGGAGCTGGGTGGCCTTCCTCTTGTTTGCTCAGTAAGCAAGCCCAATCTCCACTGAAAAGCCCCTCTGCTGCTCCAGAACCCCAAAAGGGAGATTCAGAAGATCCTGAAGTTTGTGGGGCGCTCCCTGCCAGAGGAGACTGTGGATCTCATCGTCCAGCACACGTCTTTCAAGGAGATGAAGAACAACTCCATGGCTAACTACTGCACCTTATCTCCTGACATCATGGACCACAGCATTTCTGCCTTCATGAGGAAAGGTGAGTACCCATGCAGGATGGCCATCTGGGGAGGCAAACGTGAAAACGGAGGCAAGAGTTGGCCTGGGCCATCTGGGGCCTGCTCTGCAGCCGGGACCTGCAGCCATCTTCCCCTCCACCCACAGGCATCTCGGGGGACTGGAAGACCACCTTCACTGTGGCCCAGAATGAGCGCTTTGATGCCGACTATGCCAAGAAGATGGAGGGTTGTGGCCTCAGCTTCCGCACACAGCTGTGAGCAGTGCCCCCAGGAGGCACCCAAAGGCCCCGTGCTCTGACACAGCCAGCCCCCAGCCTCAAAAATAAAATTCCATTGGTATTACACTGAGAGCCTTTAATGCAAGCAAAGAGCAAACCTGAGCTAGAAGGAATTCCCCCTGGGATCAAATGAAGCTCTCTTCCCTCCCTCCAGCTCTTCAATTCCCCAACCTGCCCTGGTATGGGGAGGGGCAGAAGGGCCTGGAAAAACAAAACCGAGGAGACATGGGCAAAGGGGAACAATATTTATTTGCCACAATCTTTTGTTGCATTCCCCTGGGGGAGTGGCAGGAGATCTTGAGTCTGCCAGCCCACTTCACTTTTTCTTGGGCTCCTTACAAGCCACCACGTACCTCTGGGCCACATTGAGGGGAGGGGAGTAACCATCTGCATAGGAGGTGTCTTCAAACAGGACTGAATAGTCATCCTGGGGCTGCGGCAGGGGGCAGACAGGAGGGGCTAGTCAGAGACCCCCATGCAAGGCCCCCCAGCCCAGACTGACAGAAACCTCTGGTACACGGGCTCCCAGCCTCTCCTGTCCCCATCTTCACTCAGAATTTAGTTCCTGCTATGACAGAACCCTATTCTCAGCAACAAAGTGCCAGGGGACAAAGAGCAGGGAGGAGGGAGATTCGCGGTCTACGTTGGGGGGATTCTACATGGAGAGTATGGTACCTTTTGGGGACCTTCTAAGAAGGAGATCAGGGAAAACACCAAGGGCAGCAGGCAGGGATCCTGGAGGAAGCAGGCAGAGCAGCCTTGAAGCTGCCATCAGGTGTCGGGTCACCAGCAAAAGGGAGCATGGCCTCAGATGAAGAAAGGCCAGTGGTGGAGGAGTCAAGGCAGGGAAGACAGGCCCTGGGCACAGTGCTTCCCACCTCAGGGCTGCTCATCTCAGTGCAAAAGTGGGGTGAGACTAGAGGATACACTGGTTCCGTTCCACTCGGGGTTTGCTAGGACTCTGAGGGTTAGCTGGCACTGCCCTAGGGGACAGGGCTTGAGGGCCCCTATGGGGCAGAGTGTAAGCAGGAGAGAGGGAGAAACTTGCAGGACTCTCTTAGCTCAGAGGGGCTGTCAGATGAGGACAGGAGGGGAAAAAGTGGAAGGTGACCCCAAGACCATCCAGTTAGCCCAGTCCTGATGTCATGGTCTGTCTCTCCTGCAGGGGTTGCCTTACCCGTTGTGGGGGCGTGTGGATCAGGGCACGGTAGAAGCAGGTGGTCTGAGGATACAGGGCCAGCACGAGCTGCTCCTTCTGAAATAAGGCTTCGGGGTCTGTCTCTGGGTTGGCTTTCCACTGGGGCAGAGGGATGATGCGCCGCCGGCTCAGGGTATGTCTCCTGGAAGTGGGGCTTAGATCAACCCACAGCCAGGTGGGGGGCTCCTTCCCAGCAGCTTCCATGGTCCCTCCCTGCCCAACACTCACTCTTTGCCTTCTTCATCAATGTCATCTACCTCATACCTGGAGAACAAAGAGAAAACAGAGGATGCAGGGAGATGCACAGTCCGAACCGGGGAGCGATGAGGAGGGGAAGCATCCCAGGGAGCGGGAGTCGCACATCATCCCTGTCCCCACAGGGACCCTGGAGTGGGGTGGGGGGGCTCTTCTCCCAGCCTACAGATGGTAGAGTGCACGGAGGGCCGGGTGTCCACTTACTTGTTGGTGGCGTGGCTGTAACTGACCACCTCAGCCAGGATCCACTGCTCATCCCCATCCACAGCCTTGACCCGGGCAGCCACCTTGTCTCCAGGTTTGGCCACGTAGTCCCCAGAGGCCGGAATGGCCCCACAGAGGGGCGGGGGCCTGAGGATGGACTGAGAGGTTAGTCCCGGCCCCTCCCTCCTATCAGCTCCGCCCCTTGAACCCGGGCCTGCCCTCACTTGTCACCAGGTTTCCCGATCCACAAGGGCAGGGTCATGGCCGACTGCTGCAGCAGCGTCATCAGCACCCCCCTGCGCATGGTCTTCCGGGGGGGCTCCGAGTCATTGTACAGGCCCGCGATCTTGGCCGCTGCAGGAAGGAAGCGCGCCCCTGAGGCCCCAGAGATGGGGCTCCTGCCCCGGACCCTTGTTTGTACCAGTGCACGGCGCCATCAGTGGAGCTCAGCCTGGGGCCCACCTCCTTAATTACCACCAAGGGCCCCCCAGCAGATGCTTGCCGTCAGAGGCCCAATCTGCTTTCACAGATCACAGATCTGGGAGATGTTGCTCTCAAGATCCCCTTGCAGGGAAGGAACCAAAGAGGGCAAAGGAAGGGTTCTGAGGTACTGGTCACATCGGTTTGCTTGGTTAGTGAAAATTTCATAAAGCTCTCTGTACAGTTAGGTCAGTTCTCTACTGAGTAGATGTCATTCAATAAAAAAAAGAATGTGGACAGTCTCCTGACCTTCTCAGGCATGGCTCAACACACTCAAAGTTGCACAAAGCCAACTGGCAGTGTGACGTTTTGATGGGCAAGCAGCCTACCTACTGTGGGTTCACTGAAAGGGTAAGAGAGGTGGGAGAGCCACGGCAGTCTAAAAGTTCAGATTTGGAAGCCAACACCCTCTGTAAACTCCCATCTGAAGGATGGTTCTCACAAAGTAGCAGGTTGCTTACCGCAGCAAGAAGTGTGAGTGGGGGAGGGTAGCAGGAAGGAGGCTACTGCCTCAGGTACAAGGGGGAGAGAAGCCTTAGGGGACGGGGCACAATCTTCCAAGTCTGTAGAGGATCACTGGGAGCCCCTGCCTCTGAGCGCTGGTAATGACCTCCAACCCCTCCCAGACCCAGGCTGCCCAGATGTGCTTCCCCATCAGAAATCCACGGAATGAGCACATGGGGCTGAGGTAGCAGGACTCCCTCCTGCAGGGAGCCATGACTGCTGCTCTCAGGAGGCCTCACTCCGCCTGGCCAAGAAGTGCCAAACGTCTCCCACTCACCAATCCGCCTTTCTTCCAACAGAGACTTGATTTCCGCTATCTTATCTAGAGCTTTCCGGAGGATACTGAGGGTGGGGAGAAGGGAGAGAAGAGATCTGGATGAAGCACAAAGCACAGACTTCCTTTTCTGCTTATAGTAGGCTGAGTAACAGACCAGACCTACTGCCAAAACTATAAACCCTAAGTACTTTTTCAATTCATTCATTCATTCATTCATTTTTTATTTATTTAGGATATTTATTTATTTAGGATATTACTTAAGATATTTATGATTTTAGGGACACGTGGGTGGCTCAGGGCATGATCCCGGTCCTGGGATTGAGTCCCACATTGGGCTCCCTGCGAGGAGCCAGCTTCTCCCTCTGCCCATGTCTCTGCCTCTCTCTGTGGCTCTCATAAATAAATAAAATCTTTTAAATAACATCTATATCCAATGCTGGACTCGAACACACAACCCCAAAATCAAGAGTTGCATGCTCTACTCACTGAGCCAGCCAGGGGCCCCTGTGCTCTTTTACATTTTAAGGTCCTTAAAACTGACAAGATAGGGGGATGCCTGAGTGGCTCAGAGGTTGAGCGTCTGCCTTCAGTTCAGGGTATGATCCCAGGATCTGGGATGGAGTCCTACATCGGGCTCCCTGCATGGAGCCTCTTTTCCCTCTGCCTCTGCCTCTGTCTCTCTCTCTCTGTGTCTCTCGAATAAATAAAATCTTAAAAAAAAAAAAATCTTAAAAAAAAAAAAAAAAGAAACTGACAAGGTAGGGAGAGGTTGCAGGCGCAAAGAATTCAAGAGGATCCCAGAGTGGTAACCATAGCAGAGAGAGACGCATTTGACAGAGCCTGGAGAAACTGCGCTGCAGTGGTAGCTGCCTGGAACAGTGTGGAAATGTAGAGGACAGAAGTTAAAGCTCGGAGTCTGCCCAAACTGGGACATGTGAAAGGAGATACCCTAGAAGACTGTGGGGAGTTCTCTGGGCTCCAAACCAGGCTGAAGGATGAAAGGAATTTAATTTGTCTCTGAAAGGCTGCAGCGCCAGGAAACCTCTAGAGTTAGTTTACGGGGTTCCAGAATGACCAGGGCCCAAGCAATCCAGCAGGAGTGAACACAATCCTCACTAGAGGAAAGTTTCTTCATCCTAGATCTTGAGGACTCTCCCCCCAAAAGGGAATAATCTTTTAAAAAAAGAGAGAGACAAAATTGTTAAATGAAGACACAAGGGGTTTTTTTTCCATTTGCTGCAAAGCAGGATGAAAACCAGCCAGGGAAGCCCTGGAGCATGTGCAAGAGCATCACAGGACCTGGGCTAGCTCCTGAGGCTGGCTCTTGGTGCCCTTTCAGTTTCCTAAGGGTTTTATTTATTTATTTACTTACTTATTTATTTTTTAGGTATTCATGAGAAGAGACACAAACTGAGAGAGAGAGAGGCAGAGACACAGGCAGAGGGAGAAGCAGACTCCCTGCAGGGAGCCTGATGTGGGACTTGATCCCAGGACCCCAGGATCATGCCCTGAGCCAAAGGCTGACGCTTAACTACTGAGCAACTGAGGTGCCCCTTCCTGAGGGTTTTAATTAATTTACTAAGACATGTGTGGTGAAGAAGAGTGCTGTAGGAACACAGCGACATGTGTCTCCCATCCCGACTTGGAGCCTCCTGTGGGCAGAGGTGGTGCTTTGCTCTGTCACTTGCTCCCATGCCCAGCATGGCACTCGGTGCTGACAGGGACTCTAGTGACAAATGTATGAACTTTTGAGAGTCTGAAAAAGTGAAATGTCAGGAGAATTATTAAGGGGTTGGCCCCTGCAATTCTTAAGCTTATAAATGTTTAACTCCAGGTAGGTCAGTGCCAGAGGACAGCTTACACCAAACTAGTTTCAGAAGCAGTCAGTTTGCCAGCAGTTAGGTTGCTCTAGCATGGATGAGTGGGAAAGGGCCTGACTGTGGCCAGATGACAAATCTGCAAATCAGGGAAGAGAGGGGGCAGGAAGGGTGGGCTGGGAAGCCAGTAGGCAACATCAGCAATCAAAAGGCACGTGTTTCCTCCTGCTTATGCCAACTCCACCCCAGCTCAGCACAGGGAGTCCCATCAGGTCCCTCTGTCTAAATTATAAAGCCTGGAATCTTCAGCTCCCCCTCTTCCAAATGGTCGCCCAATTTTATTCCAGAACCTGCACTTGAACCCACCCTTGCTTCTCCATCCCTACTGCCACTAACTTGGCTCAATTCCATCACCATCTCTTGTCTGGCCTCCTAACTAGCTCGAATCTCACCCCATCTAACCCCACACAACAGCCAAGGGTTTCTCTCCTGCTTTACACCTTAGCTGGCTCCCTATGGCCTCCAGGATAAAGTCCAGTTACTGGAAGCCCTCTACCTCCTGCCTTGCCCTTCTTTAGTCACACAGGACTGGTTCTCATTCCTCCAGTGTGCACATGTGGCACATACTCCTCCACAGCCTCTGTCGTGTCCACCTGCTGACCCTTACTTCAAGTCTCTCCTCCTCCCTGTGGCCATCCCAGGGCCCCAGGCACAGTGAGCCCACTTCTGTTAGCCCACCAACGACACTGCCCTGGTCACTGTTTTCTTAGGGTTCCTCTCCTTTCCAGACTGTGTGCCCTTGTAGGCAGGGTCCTCTCTATCCTCATGTGCCTGTATGGGGACTGCCCAGCACCAGGCACAGGGTAAATACCAGCAAAGATTTGCAAAACAGGGCAGACCGAGTAGCTCAGCGGTTTAGTGCCACCTTTAGCCCAGGGCCTGATCCTGGAGACCCGGAATCAAGTCCCACATCCAGCTCCCTGCATGGAGCCTGTTTCTCCCTCTGCCTGTGTCTCTGCCTCTTTCTCTGTGTCTCTCATGAATAAATAAATTTAAAAATCTTAAAAAAAGGGCAGCCTGGGTGGCTAAGTGGTTTAGCACCGCCTTCAGCACAGGGCGTGATCCTAGAGTTCTGGGATCGAGTCCCATGTAGGGCTCCCTGCATGGAGCCTGCTTCTCTCCCTCTGCCTGTGTCTGTATCTCTGTCTCTCTCATGAATAAATAAAATCTTAAAAAAAAATCTTAAAAAAAAACAAAAAAACAAAACCAGACTATATAACCAGTAACAGTAAAAACTGTACTTCTTGTTCCAATTCCGTGATATATGTACATATGAAATGCATGTGTGTGCTGTGGAAAGGCGACTGTTACACCATGCTAGCATGGTATTAAAGAATATGGACTTTTGGTTTACAACTGGGCTCCCCGACTTACTGGTTATGTGACTTTTAGCAGATTACAGGAACTCCTTGTGTCTTAGTGTCCTCAACCGTAAAATGGAGGTAATGTCCACCTTTTAGTCGTTCTGAGCATTACAGGAGATAAATACATAAAGTACTTGGAATAGTACCTGGCACAGTACGACAACACAAGAGTCCTTATTAGTATTACTATGGCAATGATGACTAAATCTTTAATATCACGATTAAGCTACAACAGAGAATGTATTTCCTACCATGGGTTATGGTCAAGAGTTTGAAAATCACTGGTCTTAGGCACTTTATATATATTATTTCGTGCTATGTTGACAAATCTGTAGTAATTATGATCCCTGTTGTAATTAATGATGGAATAACTGGGTCTTGGGGCTCAGTGGGAGCAATGAACTCTTCACGGTCACCGGACTAGTAAAAGGCTGTGCTGGGGTCTGGCCCCCACCTTGCTGTCATGTAGGAAACAGCAGAGCTGGAGGGAAGAGGAGGCCCCAAGAGACAGCCCACGGAGTGGAAAGCTACTTTTCTTTTCTTTTTTTTTTTTTATTCATGAGAGAAAGAGAGAGGCAGAGACACAGGCAGAGGAAGAAGCAGGCTCCATGCGGGGAGCCTGACTTGGGACTCGATCCCGGGTCTCCAGGATCACGCCCTGGGCTGAAGGTGGCGCTAAACCACTGAGCCACCTGGGCTGCCTGGAAATCTGCTTCTAAGTGGCAGGAAAGGCAGTAGGGGCGAGGGTTTGTGGGCTCCTATGGCTCAGCACATGGGTGGGTGACAAAGGAGAGGGGACACTACTCACTTGCACTCAGCCTCTGCATCAGCCTTGGCGGTGGTATAGAGCCCACGCAGCTTTGTCCGGTAGTAGGGAGAGACTGCAAAGTAAGCAGAGGAAGAGGCGTGGCAAGGCGCAGCTGGCAGTCCTATGGTGCTGCTGCCCATACATCTGAATTGGGACTTCCAGAGTACAGAGGCCATGGATCGAGACATGAGCTTTAGTGGCTGGGAAGTGCCCCCTGAGGCTGATGCCCTGTGTTTAACGAGTTCTCATTTTCATATGGCACAGATGCCATCACTGTATTTGGCAGAGGGCTTTCTAACCTTTGCCATAGCATAACACATTAAGAAAATATTTCTCAGCACATAGGAAAATAGACCATAGTTCTCCAAGCTGCTCAGAGTCGGAAAGCACCTACCCAGTAGGCTGAGCATGAGGGCCTTTGGGGCATGTGCTGGAGATGCTGGGAGTGAAGCTCTCTTTCTAGAAAACACCAGCTAACTGGGGGTGCTTGTGCACTCAAAGGGGTTCCCCTAAATGCAGCCTCATTACACTGACTTCCCAGTGCCTAGAGTTGGGGGACTTTAAGGTTCTTTAGTGCTAGGTAGCTTGTCATCTGTTTCCTGGGTCACCTTTAGTTACTCAGCAGAAGGAAAAACCGTCCCTCTGGCTGAGGAGCAGTTCATTTTGGATTATGTAGATATATGCAGAAGTCCTGTCTGAAACTAATTAATAGCCACGTTCCCCAGTCTCAGCCCATTCCCCCCTTGCTCTTCCCCTTTCTCTTCTGAGCCCAGTGACTTACTCTTGTTCTCTGTCTGCATCCGCTCATGGGTCTTCTGGATGTTCACTAAGTTGTGTTCACTCCGTGAACGCTCTTCCTGCAGGGATAAGGTCAACGGGGCACGAGGTGGCCCTTTATCCTGCTGTAGCATCCTGCACCCAGGCCAGAGTCCCCAGAAATATGTCTATCAGCATCTCCTGACCCTTACTTTTCAGGTTACATTCCACTACAAAGGACATCATTTGGGAAGGAATTTCCAGGACTGCTCCCTTTTGGGCCACAGGACTGTGTGGTATATGACTCCCAGGAGATGGGTCATTATGTAACTATAAACATGGGTAGGGGTGCCTGGGTGGCTCAGTTGGTTAAGTGTCCCAACTCTTGATCTCAGCTCAGGTCTTGATCTCAGGATCATGAGTTCAAGCCCCACACTGGGCTCCACACTGGGTGTGGAGCCTACTTAAAACAGCAATAACAACAAAAAAACCTGGATGACAGAATGCTTATTAGAAAGGTCCCTGATAATAATGGACAAAGTGTAGGAGCAGCACGCCTGATATGCCATGCACAAATATATATCATCCTTATTTTTATGAATGAAGAGCTATTTTTTTAGAACAGGAAAAAATGGCTTTTTAATACGATCAAAGCAGCAAGCACCACATGGTGGATCCAAATTCCCCTGGGGAACACTTCCACCCTGAGGCAAGGAAGATTCTGAGAAACCAAATCACATCTAGGTGTGACTACCACTCAGCCAGTATAGGGCACCCAGTATGCTAGAGTACAAAACAGGTCTCCTAACTGCATCTGGGTCACTGGACACAATGGCAGCAAAAGACAGGCTGGAGGAAGTACACTGTCCCACAGACAGGAAAAGGTTTTCAGAGAGATAGGTGTTGGTATATGCATTGTGGGACAACTGAATACACTTTTAATGAACAGCATTCAGAGGAAGACTTATTTTTTTAAATTTATTTATTTATGATAGACATAGAAAAAGAGAGAGAGAGGGAGAGGGAGGGAGGGAGACAGAGAGAGAGAGAGAGAGAGAGAGAGAGAGGCAGAGACACAGGAGGAGGGAGAAGCAGGCTCCATGCCGGGACCCCGATGTGGGACTCGATCCTGGGACTCCAGGATTGCACCCTGGGCCAAAGGCAGGTGCTAAACCGCTGAGCCACCCAGGGATCCCCAAAGGAAGACTTCTTAATTAGAATGAACAAAATGAGGTGAGTTTTCTTATAAGGAAGAAGACAAGAAATGGGTATCAATGCACCAAGACGATGAGGAGTTAGTGCAGTGGGTCAGGCCAACCCAGTAAATAGTGCTGGATAATTCTAGGACGTCTTTGTTATTGGGAAAGGGTTTACCATCCTGACCCCCCAGGACCTCGGGTTACTTTAATACAACAGAGGCTGAAGCAGCCAGGGGGCCATGGCCCTCCATCACAGCCACTGAGCCCCAAGAACACACTTGTGGTAAGCAAGGATTTCTGAACGTGTGGAAGCCCTTCAAGGGCACTACAATGCACTATGCACATCTAAATCAATGCACTATGACTGCCCTGATCCAAGAACAGATCAAACTAAGACATTCTGAGCTATAGCTGGCAGAGATGGACTATTATTCTGAGTAGCACTTGGGTCCTCTCCATAGGTAGGAGGTGGCCACACAATGAAAAGCAGTCTGAGCACAAGCCTGTGAGCTGCAACAGGGAGACTGGCTTTGTCCCCAGCTGATTCAGAACCCAGAAATGACTGAATTGTGGCCAACTAGAAGAAAGCAAATGTTCTGAAGTAAAAATACTGTAAAGTAAAAATATCATCCATAACAATGCCTGACAAATGGGCAAGGCTAATTCTGTTGGGAAGGGTCACAAATAGCTCTGGAATTCTTACCAACTTTTTCTATGATGAAACTGACTTCTACCATGACTATAGCTGAACAAGGTGCCATACACTGGCAAGGCTAGTGAGATTCAGCTGCCTCACATAAAGATTTCGCATGCTAATACCAGTATTAATGACCAGTACTGATGCTGGGAGACAGAGCCAGAGCCTCTGCAGATTGGAACACTGATCGGAAACAACTGGCCCAAAGGACTGGATTTAGCTAACCGTTAACTAATTTCTATGCTGAAGAGTTTTACACAAATTTATAATAAGGCACAAACAGTACTGGATAAATGGGGGGAAACAGGTAATCAGATTAGTATAAAAATATGGAAATGTACAGAATGGCTCTATGGGACAGACTGCTTGTTTCTTGGAGTCTGTCCCTCACTGCACTAGTTCCTCCAAATGTTGGGCATCCTCATACTCATGCGGTTGCTGTACCTGCTGGATAAATGCTACACTAACTACAGATGCTCCAATAAATACCATTTTGCTGTAAGGGAGCCTAGGCAGAGGGTTTGGAGGGGAGAGGCTGTGAGGTAAAAGATGAACTCGATAGGCTTATTTTCAGATCTTGCATGTTCCAGAAAAGGCCCCTGACCAGCTCTTGGGAGAGAACCTCTGTACACTTGGAATATCCTGCCTGATAAAAGTATCTTTGTTCAACTAGGATAAGGGGATGGAGGGAAAAGGGGAGTGACCTTAATGGGTACAGGGTCAGATGATCAGAATGTTCTGAAATTGTGGTGTCAAGGTCAGATGATCAGAATGTTCTGAAATTGTGGTGACGGCTGCACAACTCTGAATATACTAAAAACCAATGGAATCGTACTCTTCAAATGGGTGAGCTATACAGTATGTGAATCCTATCTCAATATAGCTGTTACTGAAAAGAGAGAATCACAAAGTCCTGCTGCCGATAGAAAATCCAGCAGGAGGGATAGTCACACCCCACATTTTCCTCCTCTCTCATTCATCAGTCACCTGGGTCCCTGCAATGTCCAAAGTCTCTAACTGCACTGCCTGTACCCGCCCCTCTGCAGCTCACATGCGGCCCTCCAGGAGCCAAGGGCTGCGGCTTCTTACCTGGGTTTGTTTGATCAGCTGATGAAGCTCTGTGAGAAGTTCTGCGATGCGGGAATCGGCTGACACCAGGGCCATTGTGTCTGCGGTGCCTGGAGTGGAGGCGAACAGAAGAGAACCCTGCTAGTGGCTGTTGTATGTTGATCATTAGAATGTCAGGTGATGACCTTATACCAGAAAATATTAAAACTTTAGGAATTTCACATAATTTCTAGAATAGTTATAATAGCATTTACCCAAACAACAGAACCTACAAAACAACAGAATCATTTTTTTTAAAATAGATTTTATTTATTTGAGAGTGAGCAAGTGCATGAGCAGGGGGAGCAGCAGAGGGGAAAGCAGACTCCCCATGGAGCAGGGAGCCCAACATGGGACTCGATCCCAGGACTATGGGATCATGACCTGAGCTGAAGGCAGACGCTTAACCAACTGAGCCACCCAAGTGCCCTATCATCATTTTTTTGACAGTGCTTCCTGAATAACTTAAAATACCACACAAACAAGCCTTACTAGTCAAAAAGACTTCAGAATTTGAATCTCGCAAAGTTTCAAAGTACATGCCTAATTAGGATCACAGATCATTATAAGATTCAGTATTTAGTTAACCAAGCTGGCAGTAGGATTCTTTTCTTTTCTTTTTAAGATTTTATTTATTTATCCGAGAGAGAGAGAGAGAGAGAGAGAGAGAGAGAGAGAGAGAGAGGCAGAGACACAGGCAGAGGGAGAAGTAGGCTCTATACAGGGAGCCTGATGTGGGAACTGATCCCAGGACTCCAGGATCATGCCCTGAGTGGAAGGCAGGTGCTAAACCGCTGAGCCACCCAGGGATCCCTGGAAGTAAGATTCTATAGAAGGTTATACAGTTGTTAGCAAAACTTAGCTCCTTTAATATTGAGAAGTCTTCTTTTCTTTTTTTTTTTTTTTTGAGAATTAAAAAAAATTTTTTTTAAGATTTTATTTATTTATGTGATACACAGAGAGAGAGAGACAGAGACACAGGCAGAGGGGGAAGCAGGCTCCATGCAGGGAGCCCGACATGGGACTTGATCCTGTGGGACTCAATCCCAGGACTCCAGGATCACACCCTGGGCTGAAGGCAGGCACCAAACCGCTGAGCCACCTGAGAATTTTTAATTTTTAATCAAAGACCCAACAGAAATAAAACATAGAAGCCTTGGTTTTCAGGTCATATAAGGAAGAATAAACCTTTGTTTACAATTTCTTCTCAAGAGCAGACCAACAATCCAAGAAAACTATCTTCTTAACAGAGAGAAAAGCAGAATATCAATCTTATACAGTGTACTTTTAAAGATCCACTTATTTCAGGACATCTGGGTGGCTCAGTCGGTGAAACATCTGCCTTCAGGGTCCTGGGATCAAAGCCCCTTGGAGAGTATTTCCCCTTCTCCCTCAAATAAATAAAATCTTAAAAAAAAAATCTTTTTTATCAATCTTAGTCCTGACCACATACAAAGTTCTTTTCAAAGATTGACCTTCACAAACTTCCTACAACTTTCTTTTTCATTCAGATTTTGTCCTAAGTCTTTTCTCTCTAAATTAACTAGTCTCATTTTAGGACAAATTCACTTTCTTTTTCCCTCAACAAAATGTATTCTCATTTCTTATGCCTTTCTTACATTTTCCTACTTTCCTAAATACAGAATTGAGTCTACTGGTAAATATGCTTTTTTACTGAAAGACTGTGCTATGGGAAAACATATGCTCTTAGAAATTATGAACTGTATTCATAAACTTGCCAATCTAAAGAATTCTGATATAGCAGACAGTTCACATTTGGTTACTGCTTGATTTTCACTGGAGACTAAGGTTTCTTTTTTTTTTTTAATTTTTATTTATTTATGAGAGAGAGAGAGAGAGAGAGAGAGAGACAGAGACAGAGACATAGGCAGAGGGAGAAGCAGGCTCCATGCACCGGGAGCCCGACGTGGGATTTGATCCCGGGTCACTAGAGATTAAGGTTTCTAAGTTAAAATTCTGTTAAATGTAATTAAGGCTGATGGAAATGATAAGGAAAGCAAGTCTATCAGTTTCTCCAGGATAAGAAGCCAGAAGCACAAACCTACGTTCATTTAATGCCAATTTGATATTTTATTATGCCAATGAATTCAATCCAATTTATTGTTTAACTTAGCAAAACTTTAAAGGTTCAGGTTACCAAAGATTTTGAAAGCCATTTAAAAGTTTTACCCATAAACTTAATTAATTAATTAATTAATTTATCTATCTATTTATTTAAAATATTTTATTTATTTATTCATGAGAGATGGAGAGAAGGCAGAGATACAGGCAGAGAGAGAAGCAAGCTCCATGTAGGGAGCCTGATGTGGGACTCAATCCCGGGACCCTGTGATCACACCCTGAGCCAAAGGCAGATGCTCAACCACTGAGCCACCCAGGCATCCCAAACTTTTTTTTTTAAAGTAGGCTCCACATCCAGGATGGAGCCCAGTATAGAGTTAGAACCCACAGCCATGAGATCAAGAGTTGGACACTTGACTGACTGAGCCTCCCAGGCACCCCAACCTAGAAACCTTTTTATTTATTCAACCTACTTGCCCTTAACAATTAGCACGAAAGCTTTATGAGACAGGTAAAATTAACCATCATTTTAAGCCATTTTTTTGCTGACAAATTGCAGCAAAAATAACATGAGCTTATCTGACCTTTAATAAACCTCGGCAGAATAAAAGTTTTACTTTTAACACTGATAAGTCTAAAGACACATCTTAAACTAACAAACTTAAATTAGCTTTAATACAGAATATATGGGGGCACCTGGGTGGCTCAGTGGTTGAACATCTGCCTTTGGCTCAAGTCATGATCCTGGGGTCCTGGGGTTGAGTCCCACATCAGGCTCCTTCCAGGGAGCTTGCTTCTCCCTCTCCCTATGCTTCTGCCTCTCTCTGTGTGTCTCTCATGAGTAAATAAAATCTTAAAAAAAAAAAATACAGAATATGTGGTACCTGTGCCTATTAAAAGTCAATTTGTTCCCCACTGTCAATTTTCCTTGGGGTACCCAGGGGGAAATCTGAAGGGAATGGTTAAATCCAAGGGAACTCCTGGGCCTCTTCATGCAGATTCAAGAGGTGCTTCAGTTTGAACCACATGAGGAGATAGCTCAACAGCTTGGGGTGCTCTTTGCTCCTCTATAGCGAGTAAGAGGAGCAGGAGCCAATGGCACCAAAGGCGAGGATTTACCAGAGCAGGTTTGTAAGCCTCACCAGAAGGTGGTGGAGAAACTTGAGAGGGGAGGGTGGGGCAGGGGGGAAGGTGTGGCAGGAGAGGTGCTGCCAACAAGGCTGGAGGTGATAAAAGCCCAAACAGAAGAAATAGGACTCCGGTCCTAAAGCTAATCAGCCTGGAGAAGAGCAGATGCACATTTTCTTCCCATCAACAAAAAGTGGGAACAGGCAATCCATGTCAGGTGAGAATACAGGGAACCTCCTCGAAACAAAAGGAGTTTCAGCAGCTGCTTGGGAATACTCCTTAAAGTCACCGTCCAGAGGTTAGACTAACCACAGACAACCGGAAATTATAGCCATCAACATGGAAATGAATGAGGGGCCCCCACATACAAGAAAGAAACAGGCACCACTCATCTAATCCTCACAACACGTCAGATCCAATGCACAAAATAAGACGTAAACAAAGGGTTTGGGAGCTTGGCAGCAACCTGGTTACAGGAAAGGAGGGGGGAGTACACAAGAAACAGGACCTCTTGGGGAGGTGTGCTAGGCACTGACAGGGGATCACTCCCTTGGGACTGGACTAAGGCTAAAGCTCATGAGAAAGTTGATCGGATTAGGGAGAGGTCCCAAACTTTTGTTTCTTCGGGTCTCTCATTTGTGCTTACCCATGAGTTGTTTGGCATCCTTGGTCCTGCTCTCAGATTAAGTGGTCCCCTGTCAGGGGAGTGCCCCAACAGGGTAAGACAGCTCCCACCCATTCCTTTCAGAAGCACATGGTCAGATGTATCTTAGATTTTATGCTCATAGAGGGACCACACTGGGTTATTTAGAAGGAAACCTTACACAGAAGTCTTTTAAGATCGCAGCAGCCATCCTAATGAATGTATAGCCATCCTGTGCCCAAGAAGAGCATGAGTATTGAAAGAATAGGCACAACAGGGAGAGCCTGAGCCCAACACTGTTATGGCCAAGGTACTAGTGTCCAGCTGAGCGGCAGGAGTTTGTTCCTTCCTGTACTGCAGCCACAGGACAGAGGTTCTCTCTCGAGCACTCAGACAAGGCATGTTCCAAAGGGTCCTATTGTGAGGACAGCTCCAAAAAAGAACAGGTAAGAAACAAAGACAGGTATGTGTGTGTGTGTAAAGAAGACTTACCAAGTTGCACTGAATCTCCTGGATTTCTTTTGGCACAGTCCCCATACAGGCCACCAAAAATTACGTGGGGGGTTGTTCAGCGCAACTATCAGGAAAGAATTCTTGAGCTGATGACAATGCAACTTAGTAAGTTTATTTAAAGGTAGCACAGGGGGGCAGCCCAGGTGGCCCAGCGGTTTAGCGCCGCCTTCAGTCCACGGCATGATCCTGGGGACCCAGGATCGAGTCCCACATCGGTCTCCCTGCATGGAGCCTGCTTCTCCCTCTGCCTGTGTCTCTGCCTCTCTCTCTCTGTGTCTCTCATTAATAAATAAATAAAATCTTTATAAATAAATAAACAAACAAATAAATAAATGTAGCACAGGGACAGGACCTATGGGCAGAAAGAGCTGCATTTTTGCTGTGTGAGGCTGGTGGTTATACACTCAGCAATCAATGGGAAGAAGCATGCAGGGAGTATCAGATTACAAAAGTTTCTTCAAATTTCTACTCAAAAAACTAGTTTTGCAAGATTCCTCTAGTGTTTATCATTCAGTTTGACATGAACTATTGGTGAGGTGTACAGGCAGTCATGAGATCCTTAAAGAACGTAGCAACTGGGGCACACCTGGGTGGTTCAGTGGTTGAGTGTCTGCCTTTGGCTCAGGTCGAGATCCCAGGGTCCTGGATCCAGTCCTGTGTCAGACTCCTTGTCGGGAGTCTGCTTCTCCCTCTGCCTATGTCTCT